TGGGCGAGGGACAAGGGGAAATGCTTACACAGCACATTGCGCGGCGACGTAAACAAAGCTGACCCGCCGCGGACCTTGGCGCGGGCGGGGACGGCACCCCCACTCCGGCCGGCCAGCCGCCCGCGCCCCCTCCCGGCTCCTTTTTAGGTTCCCCGGGCCGCCCCCGCCTTGACCGGCTGCGCGCGCTGTCGCCCGTAGATTTTTTTGCTAAGCGCAAGAGACCTGCGCCCGAGGCCAAGGCTTCCAACGAGGTCCCTGCGGGATGCACCGCGCCTGGCGGCGGTCCACCCGTCGGCCCCGCGGAGCAAACTCCGCGCAAGCGTCTGCGATGAGGTATGCGGGGCGCCAGGGGCGCGCGCGCGGTTGGGGGGGGGTTGGTCGCCCCGCGGGGTTTGCGGGCGCAGAGTCCCCTCCTGCTCAACACGCTTCTCTCCCGCAGCCTCGCGCCCAAAGAGCCCCGAGGGAGCCCGCTGGGCAGCGGACAGGAGAGGAGCGCTGGGCCTCGGCTGGGACCGTCCATGTAGCAGCAACCGGCGGCAGCTGCCACTGAGCAGCGTTCGGTTTTGTGTTAAAAGTTTGAAAACTGTGCAATGTATTAATAACGTCTTTTATATCTAAATGTATTCTGCACGAAGAGTACACTGGTCCCAAGGTGTAAAGCTTTAAGAGTCATTTATATAAAATGTTTAATCTCTGCTGAAACTCAGTGCAAAAAAATGAAAAAAGAAAAAAATGGAAAAAAAAAGAAAAAAACATGTATATTTGTACAAAAAGTTAAAAAAAAAAAGTTATACTAACTTATATTTTCTATTTATGTCGAGGCGTGGGCCGCTCTGCCACGCGATTGCTCGGTTATTGGCTATGCCAAAGGCTCGTCACCCGCATCTGGTTATCCACAAATGTAAATTTATTTTTATAGCGGACTCTGGGGGGGTCGCTCACAAGCCGCAGCTGCCGTACCAGCCCATCTAGCTTTGCAGTCTCTTCGCGCTTTCGCTGTCTCTTTTATTATTATGAGTATTTTAAACTTGAAGTCAAATCTATAAAAATGGTTCCTGAGCCGTCTGCACCACTGCCCCGGCCCCTGTCCGCCGGGTTCTAAATAAAGAGGCCGAAAAATGCTGCAACTCAGCTCCGTGTGCTTGTACTGACTCCAGCTTTTCCTGGGGCATCTTCAAAGTTAGGGAGGCAGAGTGGCAGCCCTAAACGGGGGGACTTTTTCTTCTGGCGGGCTTTCTTCTGGCAGGGCTGGCCCGGGCCCACCTGCTGCAGGCCCCGAATTTAGGGATGAGCGGCCCCGCCCTGGCTCTGCGGTACACACACACACACACACACACACACACACACACACACTCACACAGAAACACATAGAGACACACACAGACACATACGCCCTCCCACACCTGTGGGGCTGTGCCCCAAGATGGAGCTCGCCTTGCTCCAAGGAAACCGCCCACTCTCCAGCTGCCTTGAGCTGAGTGGAGACGGGGCTCAGGTCGGCACCTGTAGGGGTTGCGCCCAGGCGGACCCCCACTCTCGTCTGGCTGCAGTGGCAGCCTGGGACTCGCGGACAACGTGGAGCTCCAATTGCTCCAGGATCAGCGGCTTCTGCGGGCTGGCGACCCTCAGGGCGCGGCCTTGGGACCCCTGACGGGTTCTTGGCATCTTCCCGCGGGCATGGGGGGAGGGGCGGCCTGAAGGCCTGCGGGGAGGGGGAGGGGAGGACACGGGGCAGTGCCCCGGACCCGGTGGGGGTGGGGAGGAGTGGGCGCCGAGGCTTCTGGAGAAGGACTCCAGGCTGGGTCCACCCTCGCGCACCCACCAGCCTTCTGGTTTCAAAGTGCTCCCTTTTAGTCAAAAAGGAGACACAGTTTTTTAATAGCTGACCTATAAACCTCTGAAAATTACGGCTTACAGTGGAAAGGGTGACGTAGAATGGCAGAGATGGGCGGCGAGTGGCGTTTTCGCGGGTGCCTCGGCCACGAGAAGCGGGCACTGGTGGTGTGTTTTCCTACCTGACCAGTTTGGGGACCTCACGGACAAAGGCGGGGCCCTTCCCTGGGTTCTGAAGATGTGTGCGGACATTACTCCCTCCTCCCCACCGCCCCAATTCCTAAATGAACTTGGAAGGAGGGAGCTGGGAGGGCCCCACGGCCCAGCTGGGGCCAGATGCTGAGGTGTCCCCCCCACCCCATGAGAGTGTGGCCCCACCCGCTTCGGCTCTGCATTAGCCTGGTCAGAACCAGGGAATCGGCCCTGTGTAGCCCTGACTTCAGGCTTCAAACCTCCCCTCTGGGAAGGGGGCCTCCCCCACATGCCCTGTGTGCCTCCTGAGCTGCTGCACGGCCAACGGGGGGAGGATGGCCGTGGAGTGGGGAGGGGAGGGAGCCCAGAGGGGGGCTGTGGGCATTCTCCCTGCATTCCGATTGCTACCGATGACAGAATCTGGAGGGGTGGGCACCTCGCAAGCCCCGAACATGAGGGCTAGCCAGGATTCTGCCCTGCTCTGCTGCTCGCGGCCCTGGTCCCCAGGCCAGGAGCTTGGGGGCCGGGCCCATCTGCCCCCCAGCTTCAGATATCTCTCAAAGGCGGATTTCTCCAAAGCAGTGTGAGGGCTACGTGGGGGCAAGAAGGGGACCCTACTGCTTCTTGAGCAGGTTTCTCCCTGGGGCAGGAGCTGGCAGGGAACACCAAGATGTCACCCCCCGGCCTCCGGGAAAAAGCACTGGGTTTTGAGCCACACACGTGCCCGCCCCCCCGGCACATGTGGCCCTGGACAAGCCCTTCTCTCCTTCTGCAAGCCTCGGTTTCCCGCCGTTGACGTCCTGTATGAGGACAATCGTGTAAATAACAGCATCTGACGGCACCTCTGCTCATCCGCGTGTCCCCGGACATCAGGGCGGGCCCTTTCCTCTCTGTTCCCAGGCTTGCCTGAGCCCCAGAGCACCCGGCACGAACATGGGGTGGGTCTGCCCTGTGTCACGGTGTGACCCCAGATCCACTGGGGACCCGTGATGATGATGACGACAGTGACGACCATGACGAGGGGCCACTTGGCTTTCCCCTTTGGGTCCTTGCTATGTGCCTGGCACGTGCTGAGCACGAGTCACCTTCCATGTGGCCGCATCATGTTCCTGGGTGTCTAAGGAGGAGACCGAGGGAGGGAGTTACCTGCCCAAGGAAGATCTGCTGACTGTGGCAGAGGCTGTTGGGCTCTAGAGCCTGAGCCATTGAACTATCTCAGTCCCTTGTAGGGAGGGCCCCAGGTGGGGAGGGAGCCAGGCCTCCGGCTTCGTGAGGGAGGGAGGGGGGGTGAGTTCGGGCATGCGAAGCCTGGAGTGCAGTGCCCGGCACACAGCGGGCTGCAGCAAACAGTAGGGTCTGGGATGCCTTGTTCCCTTACTGAGCTGGGGGCGCATACCAGGCATGGTGCTGGGCTCCGGCGACATGGCAGCTTCTCGTGCCCTGAGCTGGAACGGCAAAACCTGGAGCCTTCAGCCTATAAACTGGCGAAGCCGGGACAGCCAGGCAGAGGCTGAGAAAGGACTGCCCTGGGCAGTGGTGGGCAGAGCACTGGGTGCTCAGCGCAGCCCAGCGTGACAAGACAGTGCGCAAAGCGGGGACAGAGCCTGCAGCTGAGGGAGGACCAAGGCCGCGGGGGAGGCAGGGTGAGCGTCACAGCCCGACCGGGAGGCGGGAGAGTGGGGGCTAGGGCTCTGCTTGGGATGTCCCCTGCTGCCGGGCCCTGGGCCCTGGGCTGGCCTGGCCTCGGGGTGGGTGTTGAGCATGCATGTGGCTTAAACATTACTCAACATAAGAGTGCCCTTCGGGGTGTGCCTGCCAGGCCTCCCCACTTCCTGTCCTCTCCCACTGGTCTCCTGGACCTTCCTGGAGCTGATGGGCCGGAGTCAAAGGTTGGACTTTATCTGCAGACAGCGGGAGCCCTGCAAGCATTGAAGCAGGTGACAGAGCCGAAGGGACTGAACAAGCACCCGAGGGTGCTGGCTAGAGGGGGAAGGGGGACTCTTACAGTTCCCGTGGCCTTGGAGGCAGAGGTTCCAGTCGGGCAAATAGTCCAGTGCTTCTAGCCTGCCAGACGCTCTGGGCACCAGAGACCCAGCGATGAATAAAAGGGACACAATCCCCTGCCGGCAGGAGCTGCCTGGACAATGGGAGGTGACATAACAAAACCTGATAAGTGAGTTATAGCAGAGGTGATAAGTGTTAGGAGCCAGCCAAGCTGAGCCCGCAGGCCAGAGGGCTATTGTTTAGAGCAGGCCAGGCCAGGAAGCCCCTCTCCAGCTCCCCAGCAGGCGACATCTGAGCTCTGCTGAGGTGAGGGGTGGGAGCCACCACGGAGAGGAGAATCAACCACGGAGAAGATCAAGATGGTTCGGAGAACAGTCTGTGCAAAGGCCCTGAGGCCAGGCATATTCACGGGCTAATAGACGGGCGGAGCTGGAGGTGGGCGGGGGCAGCTGCGAGATACATGGAGGGAACTGCCGGCCTTGGCCTTGTCGAGGGCCTGGATGGGGCCGGGAGCCGTCCTGGTGTCTGGTTCTGAGTAAGTGTGAGCGAGGGAGCCTTCCCACGGGAGGGGCCGGCAAAGGGTGCAGACCCTTTCTTTCCAACAGGAGCTGTAATTCAGGCCTCCGTGTCCTGACCTCCGCTCTGAGTCAGGCCCTGTGGACCGCAGGACACGTGCTTAGTTTTTGCAAGAGTCCTGCCCGCGAGATGTCTGCACTCCAGGTTACAGGTGAGGGCAGCGAGGCTCGGAGACACGAAGCAAGTGGCCCAGACTCACGCTCTGGCTAAATACGCAGCCAGAGCACAGCCCAGAGCTGCCGGCGCCTCGGCCCCGATGCTGCGTCAAGAGAACCGTTTCTTAAAAAAATAAAATAAAAACATTATTATTAGCCGAAGTCTATATTTTGTGTAAGACCCCAGTCTGGGTGCTGTGCATTCTGTGGGTTGGGACGATTGTATGACGTCCTGTGTCCACCATGACACGGTCTCACACGGAACAGTCCCACTGCGCCCCCCTCCACGCCCCGACTCTGTGCCCTGTCTGTTCACCCCTCCCCCCAACCCCCTGGACAACCACTGACCTTTCGTGTTTGTGGCTCATTTCGCTTTAGCTCTGCATAGTCTTCCTTCCTCTGGGTCCCGCTGAGTGAGGAACCCTGCGCAGCTGCCTTAAGCCGGCAGGGCTTTTTGTTATGCGGCATAACTTCCCGAGCTGACTGGGACACTTCCTCTGAAGACCCCAACCCACCACCCCTCCAGGTTTCTGGCAGGGAGAGTAGGCTGTTCTGGAAACTGGGACGCGTGTTCGGAAATTGTGGACCCCTCTCTGAGCACCGCATTCGGTGTCCCGCAGGTGCTGAATCCAGCCTGTCACATTTAAGGGCTGGCAGGACGAGTCTTTCAGCGTGGGGCAGGGTCCCACGTCTTCTCTGGTGGCCTTCTGTTTTATCGCCTTTGTATGGGCTTTAAAAAGTGTCCGGTACGTGAGGCAGAGAGCACTGGGCACAGGGGGCCGTAGGGGGGATGGCGGGGCCCGGGAGGGCATGGGGAAGGACAGCCAGTGTGACCGTGACCCAGAATCTGACCGTGCCACTGGATGTGGTGGCCATATATGGTCATCCCCACCACGCGGATTAATCGCCCTGGACCAACAGAACTGGTTGGTGACAAGTGTCTGCATGAGTGAAGTCCCAGGTGGCCCCTCGCCTGCACGGCTCCAGTACGGGCCAGCTCTGGAGCGAGGCTCGCGTTCACAGGCGCGGTGGGGGACAAGGCGCCGGCTGCCTGCCGCGGGGCGCTGGCGGCCTCCGGCCCTGGTGGGTTTTCTCTAGGACTTGCTCTCTGTCAAAGAAGGTGCCCCTTCCCTTAGATGCTCCAGCTCTGGTGACAGCAGGTTTGGGGGACAAAGCCTGGGCCCTTGCCTAGAGTGGACAGACACCCCAGTTCTGGGGCCTCTGAGGGACTGGCTGAGACCTTGGTCTGATCTGCATCACAGCTCAGCTCCTCCCTCTTCCCTGACCTGACCCTCCACTCTGTGGGGGCGGGGGCGGGCGGGGGAGCGGGCTGCAGAGCGGCCTCGGGGCAGCACGCACACGGACACGCAC